TCTTGCCGACATGCGAAATATTCCTTAAGCTGTTGCTCCCGTCTCCCCAGCCGTTCTTTCATAACTTGGTCCTTGGGGTTCTGCATGACCTCCTGACGCAATACAGCCACCGTTGTAGTGAGATGGTTGATGGTCGCCCTTATTCTCTTACTTTCCTCTTTTGCATGGTGCTCAGGCGAGAGATGAGAGACGCAAAACCCCCTCCATTCTGCGTGACCAACCGCTCCACCTCCTCTGTTTTCCTTTTAGCCCCCGGTCTTCCCAACAGGGAAGGGTGAAGACACCAAACACCCGGTCCCAGCTTCAACTGCGACTTAAGCTTGAAGATTACTCGGATGGCAAAACCATGGTCGGAGACTTGCTCATCCGGTGAAACATGCTCAGCCGACACCAGGCACGGGAGCAGGGATTGAGAAACCAGAGCCCGATCAATCCGTGTGCTCTCCTGATGCACCTGCGAATAAAAGGTAAATTCACGATCGCTCGGGTGAAGGAAGCGGAAAGCATCTGAGATAGCGAAATTTTTGCAGTGATGATAGAGGAAGTCATTCTCTCTTGTTGATCCATGTCGAGAGGTCTTGTCGAGCAATGGATTTTCAATGGTATTTAGATCTCCTAGGATGAGCAAGTGAGTGCCTGGCTGAATGTGGTTGATAACCGGACCAAGCACTAATCTGATGAAGGCTCTCTTTTCGGCTTTGTCTGCAGGGAGATAAGTGGCTATTAAAGTAAGGCGAAGGTTCAAGCAGTGGACTTCCACCTTAACAAGTCTTCCGGAAGGGTGGGCTAAAGGGTTGTGAAAAGAGAGATCTGTTCGCCGGCTCAGGACTGCAACACCACCAGCTCGTGTCACAGACGAGGCAACGGCGAGAGAGGTGAGGTTAAGAGAAGGCCAGTAAGTGTGATCATCTGCTATTCGGGTATCCGACAAAACCATTACATCTGCTCCTTTTCTGCTATTAATCCATGCCGTTGTACGTTTCCGCTTCGTGAAATCCCCCAGGCCGTTAACATTCAGGCCCACAAACGACAGGGTGTTTCGTGTATTCATTTAATAACTCCTTGGTCGCCTCTACGCATCCACAGGCAGGTGATACAGAACAGAGCAGCCAACGCCGAACCAACTGCTATCGCCATGGTGAGTTTCTCTGGAGCCATTAGATCCCATACTCCTTGCGAACCGTGTGCAGATTCTCTTTCTCCCTCGTCACCCGAGTAACAGCACCGAGCTCTCCCTGACCGTGCAGATGACGTGCTGAGGTGACGTGCTCTGCAGCAGCGACAAACAGCTTCCCGTGTGCTTTCCCGCAGCAGATCTGAGTGCAAATCTATTCCTCCCTGGAACTTCCGGTGGAGATCAACACAATCGCCTGGTCGAGCAGGATCGGACGAACAAGACTTGTTGCAGTTAGCGAGGAAGCTGCGACAAGCGGCTGAGTGGTTAGTATCCGAAGAACAGGTAAGAGAAGCAGGATCATGAAATCGAGCAGCTGCACCGTTACCGTTAATCCCGTGCACACGACCTAAACTCAAGCTCTATTTCCCTATGTTATGCTGTCGGTCTGTGATGAAGGCATCATGATAGTGCCATCCCCCACAGAGCCGACAGGAGAGCACGGGGTAATGGACCAGGAGCGTCTTGCCCTTCTCCTGCGGGTGGTTGACCTGATGAATCCAACGCCTCTTCTTATCCTCCGGATGCGGAACTACCAGTCCCTTGATAACCCCTGTGTTAGCTCCAGAGACAGGATGTACAACCCGGTGGAAGCAATGGCTCTCCAGGAAAGGCGTGACCTGCCGAACCTTCAACTTATACTTCACCAGCAGCTCCTCAACAGCCTCCGGTGTAATATTCGCAGGTATGTCTTTAAAAACCACTTCAATGACTCGTGGATTGGTAGCTTTCTCTTTAACGAAGGCCGCGTTTTCAGTATGAAGCCAATGCAGCGGGTACGATGTTCCATTTGGCTTCTGATACTCCAGAGCCGATTGTCTCACTTTAATGGCATCCTCTTCTTTGTGAAATGATAACTGCAGGCGACTGAACTTGGTTTTTGCGACATACGCAGGATGAATGTCTTGAAAGTCAACCTTCGTGTTAGCGCCATCAGAAAGCAAGGAAGACCAAACACGCTTTAGCAGCATCCGTGCGGTGACGATGACCAAGGCGATTTCCGGCTGCAGCACGAGAGGCAGAAGCAGGATAGCCGTGTAACGAAGCTTTGCAGCAGAGTCACTGGATATCTCAAACTCCAGCTCTGTGTCCGAGTCATCATCCGTGAAGTCGTCGTCGTTGTCAATATCATGCGCAGAGGTGAGTGCAGCCAGCTTTTCTTCCAGTGATAAACCTGAACTTCCAGCAACTGGAGTAATCGGCTCATTCTCCTCCACTTGTTTCCCCTTGCCTTCAGGATCCGAAACAGCACCACCAGCAGCAGCACGCTTCGGCATGAGCGGAGCACGTTCCTTGGGAGGAGGACGCGCCATAGGGCGATGATGAGCGAAGATCAGCAGCAGTTGATTTAGAAAGGCTCGAAATGCCTGAGCTGCCAAATGTCTGATCCCAGTATAATATAGACGCAGCGTCTTCCCATCAGACCAGTGCTCTTGATGTAAGTGCTGAGTTGTTGCTGATAAGACCTGTGGGTGATCATCAGTAGCCTCGAGAACGCCATGAAATACGAACAGCCAATCAGGATTCCCTTTGGAAAACTCTCGTGAAGCACAATGAATCAATGACAGGGTGTCAGCTGATGAAGCCTTGAGATTGCTTGGATTAAAACCAGGGTGCACATTCAACGCGGTTCGGCTTGAGATGTTGGGAAGGGGGTTTGGAGAAAAACAGTGATTGGCTCACGAGGGGCGACAAAAAAATGATTCCGCTAGAGCTTCGGGCATTTCGTAGGTGGCGGGAGGGGGTGAAATGGCGGGAGTGGGTGAAACCGAATGGCGGGAGGGATGAAACAGATTGGCGGGAGGGGGGGGAAACGAAATTGCGGGGGAGGGGGGAAACAAAATTGCGGGGGAGGGGGGAAACGAATTTCGACGGGGAGGGGGAAATGAAATTGCGGGGGCGTGGGGAAACGAAATTGCGGGGGAGGGGGGAAACGAATTTCGACTTGAAGGGGTTGAAAGCACACCTCGTAACCCACTCAGTCAAGGGATAACCTTTGATGCACATTCAGCTGAATGTGCACCCCGATTTTAAAACCAGGGTGCACATTCAATTGGATTTCTGTCAAAGGTTAACCTTTGACCTCGGGGTTACTCAGTGATTTAGGAATATCTGGGGGGAGTGTTCGCTTCAGCAGGTGAACATTTGAACCCTCGAGATTTGGCAAATGTAAACCGAAGTCATCGAATGTGCTTCCGCCAATTCGTTTCCCCCCTCCCCATACCTATTCCGCTCCCACCGAAATTGTTTCCCCTTCCCCCACAATATCGTCTCACCCCCTTTCCCCTTTCCGCCAACCCAGTTGCCCTCCCCTTGATCCCCAATTTCTAGATCCAAGTGTTATCAATTTCTCCCCTGCCAAGCCTCATCTCTCACGGACGAAAAGCCCCATGCTCGCCCATTCTCAACTATTTATTCGCTCTTCGTCAACCAATCAGCAGTTCCCGCAAACTTGCCGCCCAAAATTTAGCCTGGAGTCGCGTTGAATGTGTACCCTGGTTTTAAAGAAGCTGAACAGCAGATTCCGATAAGCTCTTGATACGATGTTCGCGTGATGAACCTTGAAAGTGTACCAATCGATTCGTCGCGATAAGGCGAGCTCAAAGCTGTGCTTCTTAAAGCCAACTGATAACTCTGCTTCACGAAATGCTGGGTTGAATACCCTGAAGAAATCCATGGCGGAGAGCTCGGAGAAATCCTCCCGTTCATGATATATGCTTTGATATCTGTATAATGTCGTGCAGCGCAGTGCAAAGATAGACAAGTCCCAACTTCTAGTCACGGATTTCTTATATATGTTCTACGTATTGGTCTAATCTTTCTTCGTCGAGCCACTCAACCAAGGGCACCATCCGAACCTAACGTCATCTCGTGGTTTGATGCCCTGGAAAACTGCCTCCCTGCAGCCCCCAACCTAATCTTGACAGGTCTGGTGGAAAACACGAATCACATCGGGAAGTTGCTACCAAGCCAGCGATTTCCAAGCCTGTGTGACAGCGGTTTGCGAGCCACAAGTTTCAGCTTTGCGCCACTTCACCAAACCACGGTTCTGAAATTTGTCGTGTAGTTTGATAGGGTGAAGGAATGACAGCCTTCGTTTTTGCTTCAAGGGACCAACCAACCACACTTTTGTCCCCAGCACAGTTCCGTACCAGCGCAACGATACGCGAAACCCTCGCAAAACGTCGCCGTGCGGGGGCGATGAAGCCGTGCGAGTCGAAACTTACATGTTACAGTATGTGACGAGAACTATCGCCAGTGCTGACAATTTACAAACCTAATCCTGAACCCCCTTGAACACTCCCCGAAAGCCGATAATCTCCAGGTGCCCCGACCTTCAACCAACCACCACCACAAACAGCTCCCAGCACCTTTGAACTGAACTGGGGCTATCCTCGATTCCTCCTCAATCCTCGCTCTTGCTATCATGTGTTCAGAGTTGCGTTTCTTCTTGAAGCACCATCCGTTCCGAGTCTTCCGCTCCTACAACCAGCGAGGTGCAGTCTTATTTGTGGTTCTCGTCTAGTGGATGCCTAAATCCTAGCCAGCATTTTAGCAATCTGCGTGCCCTTTCTCAGCTGACGCTTGAACAGTCGATTGGCAGTATTGTCGAGCGGGGGCTGAAGTGGAGTTTTTTTGCCATTAGCGAGTCTCCCGTGCTTATAATACAGTAATTATCGTAAGATAGTGTTTCAAGTAAAATGTTTGACCTCGATGCTTGATCTTCGAATATTTTCGCAACCTTGCGCTCTCTGATGGTCGTCATCAGCGACAACCGTAACCATGCGACTATTCTAACAGTAGCGGCGTCGCACAGCGACAGACAATGATGCGATTTTTCGCTGACCCAGATCTTTCACAGAGAACGTCGCGTGAAGCAGTCGCAGGGAGCTTTCCGGGAGAGAAGCGCGCCGTGCTGGGCGATAAGCAGATCATCCAAGCGGCTTCGCTGCAAACCGTAGAGCTTGAGCGCGCGGAGAACCAGCTGCGCAAACAGTGGCAAAGAGGGATCTCGGGGGGAGAAAAGGCGGAGAAGCGAGCGCGCGGAACCAGCGGCGGAGGGGGAAGCCACCATGGCAGGACTGGGAGCGGCGGGGACGGCGTGGGGGGATCAGGCGGAGAGGGGAAGGGAAGAAAGACAGGCCGTCCGATTAACGGCATGTTGCGGCCTGTTCAGGGCGGCGATTTCTTGGATGTGGCGCTCCTTGCAGGGCTGGCGACGCGGGCTCGGCGGGAGGCAGCCAGGCTACAGGAGGAGATGACACGTGTCCTCCGTGACGTGGAGAAAGCGCGTGAAGAGAGCGCGCGCATGGGGGAACGCGCCGCCGCGGCGCTGGAAGACGCAGCGGACGCGATAGAAGCAGCGGCTAGGGTTGCGATTCGGAATGGCGGGAAGAAGGGGCGGTCCGGGGGAGGCGACGCGGGAGGGAAGGGGGGAAACAGGGGAGCGCGGGCGACGGAAATGGCTTTAGGCGGGTGGTGGGGGGACGGAGGAGTAAGGTTGATTAAGGTTAAAGTGCCGGATCGACACGCGGGAGGGTGCCTGGATGAGAAGGGCGGCTCGGGAAAAGGTTTAAAGCTGTATGTTGCGCAATCCGATCCGGAAGATGCGGGGGAGGCGGAGTTAATCGGGGAGGATGACGTGTCGGACGATGGTTGGGCCGCGCTTTCGCTTGATGGCGACTCGGGGAGTGAAGGTAAGGGGGATATCTTGGGGACTAAGAGATTAAAGTCGAGAGTGTTAGGGTTGTATGGCATGCGTCCCGGAGATGGGCGTGGAGGGGCGGTTCGAGACGGCTCGGATGGTGAGAGGACGGAGGAGGAAGAGGGGGAGGAGGAGGAAGAGGACGAGGAAGAAGAGGAGGAAGAAGAGGAGGAGGAAGAGGAAGAGGAAGAGGAGGAGGAAGAAGAGGAAGATAGGGAGACGAGGTTCAGAGGCTTTATCCCGTTAGGGCACAATCGGGAGCAGGAGAAACAGCAGCAGCAGCAGCAGCAGCAGCAGCAGCAACAGCAACAACAGCAGCAACAACAACACCAGCAGCACCAGCACCAGCACCAGCAGCACCAGCAGCAGCAGCCGCCACAGCACGAGCAGCAGCAACAGCAACAACAGCAGCAGCAGCAGCAGCAGCCGCCAGTATTCGCGACAATCTTCCCGCGCATTGAAAAGCCTCGTCGCCCCAGCCCCCTAGGCCGCAGTGCTACAGCCGGCAATTCCTCCGCAGCAGAAGCAGCACTCTTCGCCGCCGCAGCAGCAGTAACGGGCGCGTCTGGCCACGCTGCTGCTACAACCGCCGCCGCTACAGCCAGGCTGGAAGCTCGTGCTGCTGGGGCAGCGGCGGGGGAGGGGTCAGGGGGAGGGGGCGGAGGGGGAGGGGGAGGTGCGGGGGAGAGGAGTAGCGGGAGAGGGCGCGGAGGGGGGGGTACACCACTTGAGTCCCCTACCTCCCCCCCGCCGTCTCCTTTGTTTGAGGGGTTGACTGGTGGAAGTGTTACTGGGGTGGGGACTGGTTCTGGGGGAGCAGGGGGAACGGGGGGAAGGGGGGAAACGGGTAAAACGGGAAGTGCACGAGAGGAGTTAGGAGGGGCACCGTTGCTTGCAGGGACCCCTCTAGAAAGAGTGCAGAAACCAGCATCACCTGCTGCTAGTTCCGCATTCGGTTCTGGTCCGGGATCTGCCTTTGGTTCGGGCTTTGGTTCGGGCTTGGGTTCTGGCTTCGCTGCTTCCGCGTCTTTATCCCCCGGCCTGCGGTTCCACGGGCGGCAAATGTCGGCGCCACCTGCCGAGCTGCTGGAGATGAGCGGCGGGCTGGGCGGCGGGGGAGGGTTCGGAGGACTGGCTGCCGCCCAGCTAGTTGCTATGAAACGGTTGGAAGCGGCTAAGAACTTAGGATTGCTACCTAATGCAGGTGGGGCTGAGGACGGGGCGGGCAGTGCTGCTGGTGGTGGTGGGGAGGTGGGAACTGGGGGCGGTGCTTCCCCTGGGAAGGATTCGAGCCCGAGGGGGGGTGTGAGAGGGGGAGGAGGGAGCGTGGTAAGTCCGGGTAGAGAGCAGCAGCAGCAACAGCAGCAGCAGAAGCAGGGTATCAGTGGGGCCACAGGAGCAGGAGGAGGTGGCGCAGCAGAAGCAGGGGCGACGTTTCATGTTCCCACCCCTCCCCCACGCTCCCAGCTCCCAGCCAATCGCTCCCCTGCCCAACGCCTAGCCGCCTCTGCTCTCGTCCGCCACGCCTCAGTAGACCTCTCCGCCCTGCGGGGCGGATCCGGGGGAGGCTTTACCTGGGGCAGCGCGAATCCCAGATTCGCTGTAGACAGACTCAACATGCTGGGGACTTCCCTAGGTCCCACCTCCCCCGGGTCACCCTCCCCTGGTTCCCCCTCCTCCCGCTCCCACCACTCTCTCGCGCCGAACCTCCGTCCGCAGGTCCCGTGGCTGCCGGCCACCGACCCTGAGCTGGCAAACCTGCCGGTTCGGAGGTTTGGTTCGGGGATTCCAGGCCGGGGGGCAGGCTCGGTGACGATGAGTGAAGCAGAGTTGACTGCGTTTGTGAAGGGGACTCCTCCTAGTGGGCTCGGGAGGACCCTTAGTGGGATGGCGGGATTGGCTGGTCGCACTGGGGGTGGGGGTGGTGGTGGTGGTGCTGGAAGTGGTGCCGGTGGTGGTGGTGGGGGTGGTATAGGTGCCAGTCCTCTTGGAGGCGGTGGTGCTGGTGGTGCTGGTGGTACGAATATTCACAGCCTAGGGGAGGGGGTGCCTCGTCTCATGTCTTCCATTCTCATGGAGGAAGGCGGGGTTTCTGCTTCTGCTGCCAGGGGCGGCACTCACCTGGGCGGCAGTCCTCTGGGCGGCAGTCCCCTTGGGATCACCCGCACCGCATCGCTTTCGCCGCCCAATTCTGGGGTGGGTGGGGGGAGGATGCTTCCTCCTCATTTCCTCAGGTTGACTCTCGGCCGGGTTGGTGAAGCGGCAGGGGAGGGAGGAGGCGGAGGCGGAGGAGGAGGGGGAGGAGGAGGAGGAGGGGCGGCAACAGCAGGAGGAGCAGGAGGGTCAGGAGGAGGGGGTGGCGGAGGAGGGGGAGGAGGGGGTGGAGGAGGAGGGGGAGGAGGAGCATGGGGAGGAGGATGGGAGGGAATTGTGGCCCATAGAAAGACTGGCAGCTTATCCCTCCTCTCCCGAACCAGCTCTGCCGCACCCAGCTTCGGCACAGCCTCGCCAGCCGGAGGCTCGGCAGCAGGCTCGGCAGCAAATTCCCCTCTAGGAAGCGTGTCCTCCGGATTCAGCCTAAGTCCCGGACTGGCCACTCCCCCCTCTCCCGCATCCTCTTCCGAAGCCCCATCCCCTGTCCCTCACTCTCCTCTCGCTCCTCTCTCCCCACTCTCCCTGCTCTCTCCTCTCCCTTCCTCCGTCCTCTCCCTCTCGCCGCTCTCCCCGCTCTCCCCCCCGGCCCGTACTCTCTCCTTTGGTGGGTTCTTCCCTCCGGGGGATGGCGGGGCTGGGGGAGCTGGCAACGCTGCTGCTGTTGCTAATGCCAGCACTGGCACTGAGCGGAATGAGCATACTGCAGGTGGTGCCTCTGGTGACGCTGGTGGTGCTTCTGCTGCAGCAGGAGGGGTTGGGGGAAACACTGGTATGGGCGGCAGTACGGTTACATCAGACGACGGCAGCAGCAGCGGTTACATCCCCGCAGGTACGCGTGGCGGTTACGTGTCATCTGGTGGCGGAGCGGGCGGCGGTTACATGTCATCTGGTGGTACCGGGGGCGGCAGTTACATGCCATACGGTGGCGGCATGGGTGGCGGCATGAGCGGCGGCGGGGGCGGCGGTTACATCTCCGCATCAGACGACGAGAGTGTCCACGGGCGGCTGGACAGGTGGCGGGAAAAGGGACTTGATACGAACACAGAGGGCGAAACAACAGAGGGGGATTACGACACAGAGAGGGAGGAGAGGGAGGAGGCGAAGAGGAGGGAGAGGCAGGAGAGGTTATGGCGACTGGAAAAGAAGGTGGAGGTAGAAGAGTATGATACGGACCAGGAGTTGGAGCTTCGGCGGGAGGAACGGCAGCTGGCTCGGCAGCAGGCTCGGGAGAAGAGGTTAGGGTTGGCAGCAGAGATGATGAAAGCGGAGATTGAGAAGGCTGCAGCTGCGGTGGGAGGTTTGGGAGGAATGGGAGGAGGTATGGGAGGAGGCATGGGAGGAGGTATGGGGGGAGGTATGGGTGGGAATGGCATGGGCATAGGCATGGGGATGGGAATGGGGAGGGAGGGTGAGGGGGATCGATTTATGAGGGGGAATGAAGCAACAGATACGCATGAGCATGGGCGTGGGCATGCACATGGGCATGGGCATGAGCATGGCTCATCGCACGTCCGGCGACTTTCGGGAGGTAGTGGTGGGGGGGCGGCAGCAGCAGCTTCGGGCGGCACAGCAGCAGGTTCGGCAGCAGGAACGGTTGGCGGTTTGGGGAGTCAAATAAGCCTCGGGCTAGGACTGGGGGACAGTATCGCTGCTGGTGCTTCTCTGGGTGGTGCTTCTAACAATCGTGCTTCTAACACGCCCTCTTTAATAGCACATGGTCCCCTGGGCAGCCCTCTAGGAGGAAGCCCCTTGCACAGCCCCCTAGGGAGTCCCCGCGGGGGGAGCCCCCTAGGGGGAAGCCCCCTAGGGGGAAGCCCCCTAGGGGGAAGCCCATTGGGGGGAAGTCCTCTAGGTAGCCCTCTCAGCAGCCCCCTGGGTAGTCCCCTCAGTACGGGCAGCAGCGGTGGGTTCGGTGGGTTCGGTACGGGCCTGCTCCGAGGCTTGGGAAACAGCTTCGGCGGGGAGATGGCTGTAGGTTCGGGGTATGGGCGGCGGAGGAAGCACAGGAGGGGGTCAACGCTGGGGGAATTGACTGAGACGGAGTGGGAGGGGACGGATAGTGAGTGGGAGGAGGGGATGGAGGAGAGACTAGCGAGGATTCAGAGGGAGGAGAGGGAGAAGAGAGAGAGGGATGCTGCTGCTGCTGCTGCTGCAGCGGCGGCGGCAGCAGCGGCTTTGGCAGTTGGGGAAGGAGGGAGGGGGAGAGGGGGAGAAGGAGGGGCGGGAGGGAGAGAGGTGTTGAGTAGTGGGGAGGAGGACGGATTGAGGCGGTTCGGAGGGCCGCTAGGAGGTTCGGCGGAAAACCTGGCTGGTTTGGGAGGAGGCTCGGGTGGAGGTTTGCCGGGAGGTCCGGGGGGACGCTCGGCAGGGAACCTGGTAGGCCTGGGAGGAGGTTCGGGAGGAGTTTCGGGAGGAGGTTCGGGAGGAGGTGGAGGAGGTATGGGAATTGGTTCGGTTTCCATGCAGAGTGACCTGCCTAGGGGGTTAAGTATGAACAGGAGAGGCTCGATTTCTAAGGAGGACTTACTTGCTGCTCTTGTTCCTCTAGGTTCTAGTAAGGATGGAGAGAGAGGAGAGAGAGGAGTAAGCAGCAGGGAGAGTGGAGACGAGGGAGGAGGGGCATTTGGGAGGAGCAGTGGTGCGGGAGGGGGTAGGGATGTTGGGTTGGGGAATGGGGAGTGGGGGGGGGCTGGTCGGGGGAGTGAGGGGAGGGGAGAAAGGGGTGGGGATGGGAAGGAGCAGGAGCAGGGTGGGGGGAGGGGAGTGAGTGTTGGTTCGAGTGCGGGAGTGTCAGATAGTGGAAGCGGTGGGGTGTTTTTCGAGATTTCTCTTGAGGCTGGTGACAGTGCGGAGAGTGCTTATAGAGAGGCGGCTTCTAACGAGTATTCTCGGGGAGGGAACGCAGCTCTATCCCCCACTTCCCCTCCCGGCCAATCACAGTCGTCCGTTCTGGGTTTTCCCTCTAAGGTAACTTCGGAACAGGATTTGTTAAAGAAGAGGTTGAATCCGCTGCGAGTGTGGTTAGCGGAGCAGACTATCGAGAGTACGGTTGCTGGTGCTAAAAGCCCGGAGCGTGATGGAAAGCAGGAAGATTTAAGTGCCGGCGTGAAGAGTTCAAATATTGGTGGGGGGAGTGGCTTTGGGAGGGAAGGACAAGGAAATTCAGAGGTAGGAGGGGGAGGCGGAGGGGGAGGGGGAGCAGCAGCGGGGGGGAAAGGGGGATTAGGGGGGTTGGGAAGTGGGCTGGCGGGATTAGCTAGTCTGCAAGGGCTGTTAGGTGGAGGGGGTGCGGGAGGAAATGGGATGGGGGGTGGGATGAATGGGGGATTCGAAAGGGAAGTGGGAGGGAGAATGGAAGGGAGAGGAGGAGGAGGAGGAGGAGGAGGGGGAGGAGGAGGGGGAGGGGGGGGGGGGAGGAGCAGAGAGAGCAGGGGGAGCAGGGGGAGCAGGGGGAGCAGGGGGAGCAGGGGGAGCAGGGGGATTAGGTGGTCTGGGCAGGGGCTTGGCAGGGCTAGCAAGCTTGCAAGGGCTCCTGGGTGGGGGGCAAGCGGGTGCAGGGGCACGGGAGGGGATGAATGGGGGAGGGGGAGGGGGACAGGGTGTGGGGACCATTGGAGGGCAGTTAGGGGGGGAGAGGGGCCGCGCAATTAATTCATTGCAGCAGCAGCAGCTGTTGCAAGCGTCTACAGATCAAGCTTTAGCCCGGTTTGAACGGCTGGCTGCTGGTGGCACTAGTGACGCTGCTGCTGCTGGATCCTCCACAAGTGCAGGGCAGGGACAGGAACAGCAGCAGCAGCAGCAGCAGCAGCAGCAGCAGCAGCAACGGCTGTTGCAGGCGTCTACAGACCAAGCCCTCGCCCGTTTTGAACGGCTGGCTGCTGCTGGTGGTGCTGCTAGTGCTACTGGTGGTTCTGGTGGTGCTTCTGCTGCTTCCCCAGGAGCAGCTGGAGGAGCAGGAGGAGGGGCAGGAGAATCTAGAGGTGTGGGTGAGAGGAAGAATCCACGAGCGGCCTCTGCTTCCTTGCAGCAGCCCGCTCCTCTCCCCGGCCCCCCCTCTCCTGGTGTGAATGGAAGGGAGATGGGGAGTGGTAACAGGGAAGGTGCGAATCCCAGTGACAGAGGTAGAGGAGGGGGTATGGGACAGAGCAGAGGAGGGGGTGGAGAAGGAGCAAGAGGAGGAAGTGGAGGAGGAGGGGAGGGGATGAATGGGAGAGGAGGAGAAGGGCAGTTGGGCAGCCCTGCTAGTAGCACTTCTAGCCGTGGGAGTGTTGGGGGGAGGGCAGGGGGAGGAGGAGGAGAAGGGGGAGGAGATGGTCGGAGGGGAGTGGGCGGAAGGGGAGAGGGGGGCGGAAGAGGTGGGGGAAGGGGGGCGGGAGGAGGTGGGAGAGATGGAGGGGGGAGGGGAGGTGCGGGGAGAGGGGGAGGGGGGGGTAGAGGAGGGGAAGGAGGAAGAGGAGGCGGAAGGGGTGGAGGGGGGATGGGGGAGGGGGGAGGAAGAGGTGGAGGGGGCAGGGGCCAAGCGGCAGGGGGGCGAGGCATGTCCGAAAGAGGGAGGTTGGAAGGAGGGGTTGGCTTGACAGGGGAAAACAACACAAAAGGCCCTTCGGAACAGTCCCAGGGTAATTCGAATCATATCCGGGGTAATTTACCCCCGCCTCTGGTGATGCAGTCTCCCTCGCCGCCCGCGCCGAGCCCACCGCAAGTTCCTTCGCCCCCTGGAAGTTCGTCCACCAATACGAGAAACCCTCGTGCAAAAATAATGAGTCAGGGGAGTGGCAATTTTCGAGCTGCGGGGGTTGGGAGAGCTGAGACTTGATGTGCGATAGATCACAATGGCCAGGAACAAGCTGGTTGTGACCGTCTCAAAACAGTACCGTTAGGTTTGGCTGGTGCCCTTGGTTCAGTGGCTTGGTTTGTAGACAGCAGCAACCTCGCAAGTACTGCAACAAAGAAAGTCTAGCCGCTGGTGAACAATAAATGTGTATGATTTATAGTTCAGGAAGTGTAATTGCATAGAATGCATCCACACAGAATCACCTCGGGGACGCGGACACTCCCATCACATTCCCGTGATCGATCCTACGCAGGATCGTTGTTTTACAGGTTTTGAAAAGGTTGGAAAGGTTTTAGATTGTAATTGCAGGTTTTCACTGCGGTGGCGGTTTGAACTTGCAATATCAATCGCCGAAATGCGAGTGTCCGCTTCCTTTGGTTTGCTCCAATATCCTAACTAGTTGATGCAGAATTATGCTGCTGGCGGACATCTTTACAGACGTTAGGTTGGCTTTACAGGCACTCTCTTTGCCAGCTTCACACGATGATAGCTCTCGTATGTGCTTGAAGTTAGAAGCATCAGTAACGCGCCTCCTCGGTTTGCCGTCAAGGTTCCCCTGTTTCCTGCAACACTCACAGCGGTCCCTTACCACAGTGATATTTATCCATCCCTTGCAAGATTTTCACGCCTTCGTTGCACCCGTAGCTCGCCATTTTCGCGATTTCGCTCTTGTCGGGGACAGTTCACGACAGTTCCCGACTGCTCGCCACTTTTCGCGACCTTTCGCAGTTGTTCGCCACTATCTCGCCATGGATCCGAGCCCCATACACGCCCAGGTTCAGCAGTTAATCTCGCGAGCACTCACCGGAATTCCTCCGCTCCCCGCATCTCACGGCACCCTCGCAAATACTCAAGGCATTGATCCCAATCGCGTCCCCTTAAAGCCGCTCCCTCAGGCTCTCGCGAACGCGGGAAACCCTAACGCGTGCAAGATCTGCCACGTGGACATTTTAGGAGGGCCTAAGTTCCGGATCTGCCTTTCCTGCGGCGCTCCGTCGCATCTATACCCCGCGACTCGGTCGTCCCTGGATGCGGCTTTAAGTACGGAAAGGTCGAGCCGGCAGAGCGCGGGGAGTGGAGATACTAGGAGTAGTGATGCTAGTCGGGGTAGCTCGGTCACCGGCTCTTTTCCGGGGACGAGTATATCGGGGACGCCTATTGCGAGTAACGACAAGAGCGGCCTATGGCGGAACACCCGGATTGAGCGGCGGTATCTGATGTCCCTTGAGTTCAAGCCGCAAGACGACAAGGTACGTTACTATTTCCGGATGTGTGTTGACGCTGAGTTGATCGGAAAGCTAACATTTATCATGCTTCTGTTGAGTCGCTGAGCCGCATTCTATCATTTCTTGAAACCGGCATCAACGCCTCTCCGCATTCTATCATTTCTTGAAACCGGCATCAACGCCTCTCCGCATTCTATCATTTCTTGAAACCGGCATCAACGCCTCTCCGCATTCTATCATTTCTTGAAACCGGCATCAACGCCTCTCCGCATTCTATCATTTCTTGAAACCGGCATCAACGCCTCTCCGCATTCTATCATTTCTTGAAACCGGCATCAACGCCTCTCCGCATTCTATCATTTCTTGAAACCGGCATCAACGCCTCTCCGCATTCTATCATTTCTTGAAACCGGCATCAACGCCTCTCCGCATTCTATCATTTCTTGAAACCGGCATCAACGCCTCTCCGCATTCTATCATTTCTTGAAACCGGCATCAACGCCTCTCCGCATTCTATCATTTCTTGAAACCGGCATCAACGCCTCTCCGCATTCTATAATTTCTTGAAACCGGCATCAACGCCTCTCCGCATTCTATCATTTCTTGAAACCGGCATCAACGCCTCTCCGCATTCTATCATTTCTTGAAACCGGCATCAACGGCTCTCCGCATTCTATCATTTCTTGGAACCGGCATCAACGCCTCTCCGCATTCTATCATTTCTTGAAACCGGCATCAACGCCTCTCCGCATTCTATCATTTCTTGAAACCGGCATCAACGCCTCTCCGCATTCTATCATTTCTTGAAACCGGCATCAACGCCTCTCCGCATTCTATCATTTCTTGAAACCGGCATCAACGCCTCTCCGCATTCTATCATTTCTTGAAACCGGCATCAACGCCTCTCCGCATTCTATCATTTCTTGAAACCGGCATCAACGCCTCTCCGCATTCTATCATTTCTTGAAACCGGCATCAACGCCTCTCCGCATTCTATCATTTCTTGAAACCGGCATCAACGCCTCTCCGCATTCTATAATTTCTTGAAACCGGCATCAACGCCTCTCCGCATTCTATCATTTCTTGAAACCGGCATCAACGCCTCTCCGCATTCTATAATTTCTTGAAACCGGCATCAACGCCTCTCCGCATTCTATCATTTCTTGAAACCGGCATCAACGCCTCTCCGCATTCTATCATTTCTTGAAACCGGCATCAACGCCTCTCCGCATTCTATCATTTCTTGGAACCGGCATCAACGCCTCTCCGCATTCTATCATTTCTTGAAACCGGCATCAACGCCTCTCCGCATTCTATCATTTCTTGAAACCGGCATCAACGCCTCTCCGCATTCTATCATTTCTTGAAACCGGCATCAACGCCTCTCCGCATTCTATCATTTCTTGAAACCGGCATCAACGCCTCTCCGCATTCTATCATTTCTTGAAACCGGCATCAACGCCTCTCCGCATTCTATCATTTCTTGAAACCGGCATCAACGCCTCTCCGCATTCTATCATTTCTTGAAACCGGCATCAACGCCTCTCCGCATTCTATCATTTCTTGAAACCGGCATCAACGCCTCTCCGCATTCTATCATTTCTTGAAACCGGCATCAACGCCTCTCCGCATTCTATCATTTCTTGAAACCGGCATCAACGCCTCTCCGCATTCTATCATTTCTTGAAACCGGCATCAACGCCTCTCCGCATTCTATCATTTCTTGAAACCGGCATCAACGCCTCTCCGCATTCTATCATTTCTTGAAACCGGCATCAACGCCTCTCCGCATTCTATCATTTCTTGAAACCGGCATCAACGCCTCTCCGCATTCTATCATTTCTTGAAACCGGCATCAACGCCTCTCCGCATTCTATCATTTCTTGAAACCGGCATCAACGCCTCTCCGCATTCTATCATTTCTTGAAACCGGCATCAACGCCTCTCCGCATTCTATCATTTCTTGAAACCGGCATCAACGCCTCTCCGCATTCTATCATTTCTTGAAACCGGCATCAACGCCTCTCCGCATTCTATCATTTCTTGAAACCGGCATCAACGCCTCTCCGCATTCTATCATTTCTTGAAACCGGCATCAACGCCTCTCCGCATTCTATCATTTCTTGAAACCGGCATCAACGCCTCTCCGCATTCTATCATTTCTTGAAACCGGCATCAACGCCTCTCCGCATTCTATCATTTCTTGAAACCGGCATCAACGCCTCTCCGCATTCTATCATTTCTTGAAACCGGCATCAACGCCTCTCCGCATTCTATCATTTCTTGAAACCGGCATCAACGCCTCTCCGCATTCTATCATTTCTTGAAACCGGCATCAACGCCTCTCCGCATTCTATCATTTCTTGAAACCGGCATCAACGCCTCTCCGCATTCTATCATTTCTTGAAACCGGCATCAACGCCTCTCCGCATTCTATCATTTCTTGAAACCGGCATCAACGCCTCTCCGCATTCTATCATTTCTTGAAACCGGCATCAACGCCTCTCCGCATTCTATCATTTCTTGAAACCGGCATCAACGCCTCTCCGCATTCTATCATTTCTTGAAACCGGCATCAACGCCTCTCCGCATTCTATCATTTCTTGAAACCGGCATCAACGCCTCTCCGCATTCTATCATTTCTTGAAACCGGCATCAACGCCTCTCCGCATTCTATCATTTCTTGAAACCGGCATCAACGCCTCTCCGCATTCTATCATTTCTTGAAACCGGCATCAACGCCTCTCCGCATTCTATCATTTCTTGAAACCGGCATCAACGCCTCTCCGCATTCTATCATTTCTTGAAACCGGCATCAACGCCTCTCCGCATTCTATCATTTCTTGAAACCGGCATCAACGCCTCTCCGCATTCTATCATTTCTTGAAACCGGCATCAACGCCTCTCCGCATTCTATCATTTCTTGAAACCGGCATCAACGCCTCTCCGCATTCTATCATTTCTTGAAACCGGCATCAACGCCTCTCCGCATTCTATCATTTCTTGAAACCGGCATCAACGCCTCTCCGCATTCTATCATTTCTTGAAACCGGCATCAACGCCTCTCCGCATTCTATCATTTCTTGAAACCGGCATCAACGCCTCTCCGCATTCTATCATTTCTTGAAACCGGCATCAACGCCTCTCCGCATTCTATCATTTCTTGAAACCGGCATCAACGCCTCTCCGCATTCTATCATTTCTTGAAACCGGCATCAACGCCTCTCCGCATTCTATCATTTCTTGAAACCGGCATCAACGCCTCTCCGCATTCTATCATTTCTTGAAACCGGCATCAACGCCTCTCCGCATTCTATCATTTCTTGAAACCGGCATCAACGCCTCTCCGCATTCTATCATTTCTTGAAACCGGCATCAACGCCTCTCCGCATTCTATCATTTCTTGAAACCGGCATCAACGCCTCTCCGCATTCTATCATTTCTTGAAACCGGCATCAACGCCTCTCCGCATTCTATCATTTCTTGAAACCGGCATCAACGCCTCTCCGCATTCTATCATTTCTTGAAACCGGCATCAACGCCTCTCCGCATTCTATCATTTCTTGAAACCGGCATCAACGCCTCTCCGCATTCTATCATTTCTTGAAACCGGCATCAACGCCTCTCCGCATTCTATCATTTCTTGAAACCGGCATCAACGCCTCTCCGCATTCTATCATTTCTTGAAACCGGCATCAACGCCTCTCCGCATTCTATCATTTCTTGAAACCGGCATCAACGCCTCTCCGCATTCTATCATTTCTTGAAACCGGCATCAACGCCTCTCCGCATTCTATCATTTCTTGAAACCGGCATCAACGCCTCTCCGCATTCTATCATTTCTTGAAACCGGCATCAACGCCTCTCCGCATTCTATCATTTCTTGAAACCGGCATCAACGCCTCTCCGCATTCTATCATTTCTTGAAACCGGCATCAACGCCTCTCCGCATTCTATCATTTCTTGAAACCGGCATCAACGCCTCTCCGCATTCTATCATTTCTTGAAACCGGCATCAACGCCTCTCCGCATTCTATCATTTCTTGAAACCGGCATCAACGCCTCTCCGCATTCTATCATTTCTTGAAACCGGCATCAACGCCTCTCCGCATTCTATCATTTCTTGAAACCGGCATCAACGCCTCTCCGCATTCTATCATTTCTTGAAACCGGCATCAACGCCTCTCCGCATTCTATCATTTCTTGAAACCGGCATCAACGCCTCTCCGCATTCTATCATTTCTTGAAACCGGCATCAACGCCTCTCCGCATTCTATCATTTCTTGAAACCGGCATCAACGCCTCTCCGCATTCTATCATTTCTTGAAACCGGCATCAACGCCTCTCCGCATTCTATCATTTCTTGAAACCGGCATCAACGCCTCTCCGCATTCTATCATTTCTTGAAACCGGCATCAACGCCTCTCCGCATTCTATCATTTCTTGAAACCGGCATCAACGCCTCTCCGCATTCTATCATTTCTTGAAACCGGCATCAACGCCTCTCCGCATTCTATCATTTCTTGAAACCGGCATCAACGCCTCTCCGCATTCTATCATTTCTTGAAACCGGCATCAACGCCTCTCCGCATTCTATCATTTCTTGAAACCGGCATCAACGCCTCTCCGCATTCTATCATTTCTTGAAACCGGCATCAACGCCTCTCCGCATTCTATCATTTCTTGAAACCGGCATCAACGCCTCTCCGCATTCTATCATTTCTTGAAACCGGCATCAACGCCTCTCCGCATTCTATCATTTCTTGAAACCGGCATCAACGCCTCTCCGCATTCTATCATTTCTTGAAACCGGCATCAACGCCTCTCCGCATTCTATCATTTCTTGAAACCGGCATCAACGCCTCTCCGCATTCTATCATTTCTTGAAACCGGCATCAACGCCTCTCCGCATTCTATCATTTCTTGAAACCGGCATCAACGCCTCTCCGCATTCTATCATTTCTTGAAACCGGCATCAACGCCTCTCCGCATTCTATCATTTCTTGAAACCGGCATCAACGCCTCTCCGCATTCTATCATTTCTTGAAACCGGCATCAACGCCTCTCCGCATTCTATCATTTCTTGAAACCGGCATCAACGCCTCTCCGCATTCTATCATTTCTTGAAACCGGCATCAACGCCTCTCCGCATTCTATCATTTCTTGAAACCGGCATCAACGCCTCTCCGCATTCTATCATTTCTTGAAACCGGCATCAACGCCTCTCCGCATTCTATCATTTCTTGAAACCGGCATCAACGCCTCTCCGCATTCTATCATTTCTTGAAACCGGCATCAACGCCTCTCCGCATTCTATCATTTCTTGAAACCGGCATCAACGCCTCTCCGCATTCTATCATTTCTTGAAACCGGCATCAACGCCTCTCCGCATTCTATCATTTCTTGAAACCGGCATCAACGCCTCTCCGCATTCTATCATTTCTTGAAACCGGCATCAACGCCTCTCCGCATTCTATCATTTCTTGAAACCGGCATCAACGCCTCTCCGCATTCTATCATTTCTTGAAACCGGCATCAACGCCTCTCCGCATTCTATCATTTCTTGAAACCGGCATCAACGCCTCTCCGCATTCTATCATTTCTTGAAACCGGCATCAACGCCTCTCCGCATTCTATCATTTCTTGAAACCGGCATCAACGCCTCTCCGCATTCTATCATTTCTTGAAACCGGCATCAACGCCTCTCCGCATTCTATCATTTCTTGAAACCGGCATCAACGCCTCTCCGCATTCTATCATTTCTTGAAACCGGCATCAACGCCTCTCCGCATTCTATCATTTCTTGAAACCGGCATCAACGCCTCTCCGCATTCTATCATTTCTTGAAACCGGCATCAACGCCTCTCCGCATTCTATCATTTCTTGAAACCGGCATCAACGCCTCTCCGCATTCTATCATTTCTTGAAACCGGCATCAACGCCTCTCCGCATTCTATCATTTCTTGAAACCGGCATCAACGCCTCTCCGCATTCTATCATTTCTTGAAACCGGCATCAACGCCTCTCCGCATTCTATCATTTCTTGAAACCGGCATCAACGCCTCTCCGCATTCTATCATTTCTTGAAACCGGCATCAACGCCTCTCCGCATTCTATCATTTCTTGAAACCGGCATCAACGCCTCTCCGCATTCTATCATTTCTTGAAACCGGCATCAACGCCTCTCCGCATTCTATCATTTCTTGAAACCGGCATCAACGCCTCTCCGCATTCTATCATTTCTTGAAACCGGCATCAACGCCTCTCCGCATTCTATCATTTCTTGAAACCGGCATCAACGCCTCTCCGCATTCTATCATTTCTCTCCTTCACTCTTCTACCCTCCCTCAGCGCCGTCGCTCCTCCTCCACACAGCCCTACGAGCGCACTGTTGCCGAAACCCTATCGTGCCTTTGACTTCCTCTCTTTTAATTTCCTATGTTTCAACCCCCCTCCCTCCCTCCGTCCCTCAGCGCCGTCGCTCCTCCTCTACCCAGCCCTACGAGCGCACTCTCGCGGAAACCCTATAATGCTTCTGATCTCCTCTCATGCCTATCATGCCTTTGATTATTATTTTTTTGTAACTCCTCTGTTTCCACTCCCTTCCCTCCCTCAGCGCCGTCGCTCCTCCTCCACGCAGCCCTCGGAGCGCACTCTCGCAGAAACCCTAGCGGGCATCAACGCGCCTCCCCCAGATGCGACCTCCACCCGCGGCAGCACCAATACTCGAGGCAGTACCGGTAGTGCTGGGCGCACCTCGAATGCTTCAGGTGTCACCTCCGCCCGCGGCAGCACGGGTGCGCCCCCCCCAGGTGGCACCTCCACCCGAGGCAGCAGCAGCTCTACTGCTTCGTCTGCTGGTGGTGCTGCTGCTGGTGCTGCTGGTACTGGTGGTAAAAGCGCTGGTGGTGGCGTGGGCGCCGGTGCAGGAGCAGCAGCAGCAGCAGGAGGAGGAGGAGGCGGAGCCGGAGCAGATGCAACCACTGCAGCAGCAACAGCGCCAGCAGCGCCAGCAGCAGCAGTGCCACCACCTGCTCCTTCTCAGGCTCCCGATTTTATTCCTGACGATTTCTTCGCCGCCCCATCAACAGTCTCCACCACTTCAACTCCTGCCGCTCTCTCGTTCGCTCCTGCTGCTCAATCGACTGCTCTGCCTACGCCACTACCCGCTCCCGGCGCTCTCCCTACCACTGCACCCACTGCTGCCCATGCCGCCACGTCAGCACCGCCTGCAGCTGTCCCCACTATTCCCAATGCGGGCGTCGCAACAGCTGCTGCTCCTTCATCGTTCTTTGCTGCCAGCTTTGGGTCAGGAGGGGGACAGCAGCAGCAGGGTGCAGCGGCTGTCACTCCAGAGAGGCACAGCAGGTACGTACGGTTCCCCGCTGTTCCTAGCGCAGGCGCAGCAACAGCAGCAGCTGCTGCTCCTTCGTCGTTCTTTGCTGCCAGTTTTGGATCAGCAGGGGGACAGCAGCAGCAGCAGCAGCCGCAGCAGGGTGCAGAGAGGCACAGCAGGTACGTCTGGTTCAACAGGCTAGCAGGCCTGCGTTTTCGACTCGCTGGCTATTTAAGTCCTTTGCTGGTGTCCCATCTCTTCAGTAACACACACTGTGAATTCTTCTAGGTTGCTCTCTGATAGCCTATTTCTGTGCCTCCCTTTCCCCTGCCACCCTGTGTCTTCCATTCCCTCCCACTGCAGTGGTTCTTCTGCTCTGGACTTCTTCTCTCAGCTCAGTGGTATCACAAGCTCTGTCCTTTCTGGCACCACCTCTTCGTCTTCTTCTGCACATCCGTCCGGCGCCACTCACGCCAACGACCCTGCTGCTGCTGGCATGAGCGCTTTCACGGGCAATTTCGCAGGAAGTTTCCCTGGGAGCCAGCCGTACGCCTCCCACGACGGGCAGTTCGGGCAGTTTGTAAAACCGGAGCCAGCGAATCCGGTGGTGCAGGAAATTTTGCAGTCACTGCCTGACTTGTCGTTCATGCTGGCTGATCACCTGGTGGTGCCCGGGAGGGATCCTGGAGGGTTGAGGGAGTTTAATAGCCGGCCGAAGGTTTCTGCTGCATCGATCATTGCATCGTGCGTTCCCCGTCGGGCAATAACACACGCTGCAGCTGCACCGGCAGCAGGAGGAACAGGGGCAGATGCAGGAGCAGCAGCAGCAGCACCAGCAGCAGCTCTTGTTGATTCTTCTGCAAGTGGAACTGTAGAGATTCAAAGCACAGCACCTGCAAGTGCAGCAGCTACAAACGCAGCAGCTACAATGGAGGCGGAAGAAAGTGGGAAGCAGCAGATGCCCACAGCTGGATTTGATTCCTTGGAAGATTCTGCTGGGGTGGGTCATGCAGCAATCACAGCACCTGCTGCAAACATGGCATCAACAGCTCCTGCTGGTGTTGGTTCTGCAACTGCTGTGAGTGACCCTGGGATGGCTCCACCTGTGGCAGAGACTTCTGTGTCTTCCGTGATCGCGGGAATGTCGATGGGGGGCTTCATGGATGATGCAGAGGAGGATAATGACGATTGGGGCGACTTTGAGTCGTGATTGGAGAAGTTTGGCTGTGGGTTGGCTGTGGAAAAGTGTACACTGTATTTTGGCCTCAGTACCGGTAGCTTTGTTTAGAATCTGAGGTGTAATGTTCTGTTAGTCTTACTGTATGTAGACTTCTGGAGACATAGGATCTGTTTATACATGATAATTACTGCTAAACAAGAATGGAAATTTCCAGCTATGTTGGATTCATGCGTGTGATTTAGTGAGATCTGGTTTGATAACGATTCAGTTTATAGCGGTGTTCCACCGATTTCCCACATTAGGACGCGTCACCTGCCTCGATCGATCCTGCGCAGGTTCGATTTTGATTCGGTTCATATAGTTTTCAAACAAATTTAAACGCAATAAGCGGGATTTTAATGCGGTGGACGATCGATCTTCCTCGATTTTGCACGATCGATCGAGGGAGGTGACGCGTCCTTAGGCTCGTTGCTCTTCAACGTTTTTGGATCAGAGACTGCTCAACGCACGTTTTCCCGCCATGCAAACGCTGTCGTCAGCCACTGTCGCCATCGTCGCCACCATCACTCACGACGCGAATCGGTCGTTCAGTGACCCCTTGAAGAACCGATCGGGGTAGCGCCAGGCATGGGTCTGCGGTACACTGTTCCCCCGATTCGCGCTCGAAATATCCTCCTAGGGTGCTCCTCAAGTCAGTCGCCCCTCGTGATTGTTTTCCCCCCTCCCCGTTACCACCTGAATTTTCCGCCTGCGCTTTGTCTCCTGCACTGTTCTCCAATGGGTGCACTTTTCACATCCCCGCCTGCCGGGTTTGCGCTTCCTCCCACTTCCGCGAACCCCTCCGCGCCAGCCTCCCCGCCACTTACCCGGCTGGACTCGACTCGATTTTCTTCCCTCCCTCTCCCTTCCCATCCCACCTATTTTTACCACTCCTCGCCCCTCCTACGGCACATGCCCTTTTCCCTGCCAGTTTCTCCCCCTCCTTCCCATTCCCCCTCCCCAACTGTTCCTCCCCCGTATTTTCCTCTCCCTCTTTCGCCCCCCTCCTTTCCCCCCTACTTTTCCCCACACCCCCCTCTACCCACACCCTCCCCACCCACACCTACATTCCCCCTCCCCACCTTTCCGCCCTTCGTTTCCCCCGACTCCACCACACCAACACACGACCACCATCGCCAGCAGCACCACCAGCATCTCGACCACCACCGCCACCACCACAGCCATCATCGTCCCCATCATCACCACTTCCCAGAGTCATCCCATCCCCGTCTGCTCCACCGTCTTCCCATCCGCATTTCCCGCTTGCTCTTGCATACCTTTCCTGTCACTGCCACGTCACTAGTTCGCACTTACAGATTCACAACGATCCCTGCAGGAGGCGTGTCTCCTAGCCGATTTCCTTAGTGACGTGGTCGTTAGTGTGGCTGGTTTTCGCCTCACCCCTCTGTCATATCTTCTAGTATAGCGAGGTACAGTCATCAGCAACCGAGTCGTAACTTTTAACTAAGTTATTTAGCGAAAACAACACCAACAATATTTTCTTGGAGAAGCCGCTCTTCGCCTATTGATTTCATTTCCGGTTCAGCCTGATGCGTTAATGCTGACTCATCAGCCTCGCCGTTACAATCCGCCTGCGTAGCCTTCGCAGTAAGCTTGCCTTCAAGTTTACGCATATTCACTTAAAGAATTCTTTAAAAACAGATCGGCGGTATCCGGTTCTCTTCGGTGTGAGGTTCTCGTCGATCTCGCCATGGTAGAATTGGCCGACGCGAGCTGCTCTGACTGGGACGACTGCTCCAATGGCTGCGCTGATGTCCCGCCAATTGCCTCGTCAGCAAATTCCTCGTCAGCAGATGCCACGTCAGCGAATGCCTCTTCAGCACAGGATCCTTTAGCAGAGGGTTCGTCTGCAGCAGATAGCCCTTCAGACTGCAAAGCCATAGTCAGCGGAGCTTTAGGGGGGTCCGAGCTACGATCGGCGGGGGGAGCGGCGGGGGAAGCGGAGGGGGTGGCTACTCCGGTGGTCCCGGAGTGTCCGGTGTGCTTGGAGCTGTACGATCAGGAGCAGCGCGTTCCGCGGCTGGTCGCCTGCGGCCACACGATTTGCCAAGCCTGTGCCCGGAATCTCCCTTTGACTCGGGTAGGTACTCGGGGCGACACAGGTTAGACATTTGGGGTGACCCATGTTAGGCACTTCGATTTGAGTCCACTTAAATGGCACCTGTGCCAGGAATTTCCCTTTGACACGTGTAGGTACTAGGGAAGACCCAGGTTAGGCACAGAGGGTGTCCCACGTTACCCACTTAGATTTGAGTTGACTCAAACGGCGCCTGTGTCAGGAATCTCCCTTTGATCCGGGTAGCCATTATTGTAAGAAACGATGTTACCCTGGTAACTTCCTTCCTCCTCGATCCCATTTCGATCATCCTTTTCCTACCTCGTCCCTTACTCTGTTAGCTTCCCACCCTCCGCGCCCCTTCGTCTCTTGGCAGGATTTTTTCGGAAAGAAATGCATCAGCTGCCCGGAATGCCGGTGCCTGGTCGTGTGGAAGGGCCTCGCGAGCATGCCCAAAAACTTTGCCCTTCTTCGCCTCATCGCTGACGCTAAAGACTGCCCGAGAGAAAAGCGGGCAGCCACTCACGCCATGGAAGTCTGCCGAACGAGATTAGACTCCAGACAGATGGTTTTTCAAATCGCGGATCTTCTCTCCGTTGTTTCCGTACTTTTTGGAATTCTCTTAGGAATGTGTGTCTTCGTGCCGCTCTGCTGCGTGTACCTAGCTCTGGGATGGAGCATTGCTGCTCTGACGTTCCTCGCGTTCTCTATCCTTTCAACGGCAGCTGTTGGATTCGCTGCTGCTGGGCTCTTCTCTCTGCTCTCATACAAAACCCTCAAGTTTCTGAACGTTTGTTCATGACGGAGGGATTGCTGTGGTGACTGGTCTGTGTGACTGAGCACACGCGGCATCAAAGTTATTTATATAAGTTATTCATCTTCGCAGACCGACAGGCATCGACTTGAGTTGAGAATTGTATCTTTTCCTACATACCAGTACAATAATAGCAATGGGATGGGAGGCATGTGTTGGTTCAGTGTATTATTCATCCCTCATAGAAAACGCAGGACTGTTTGCCTTGGTGCCCTTCGTAGGGTACATTCCGCTCAGGACATGTACCTTGAGAAAGTGTCCGAATCGATTACGACGCTTACAGCATATGCTGCCATGCGTCCGAATGCTGAACCGTGTTGGGCTGAGAAAAGCCCTTAGGATCTTGGCAGGACTAAACTCTGGGTAGGAATAATGTAATAGCGGAAGCGTGTAATGATAAGTCCTTGAACCACCTTGCGTTGGTATTGTCAGAATCTAACAGCAAGAATGATTGAACTATGGAACAGTTGGGTACAAATATGAAACCCTAAAGTGGGCTGTACCCCATATTGGCTACCCCACTACAGCCAAAACATGTATAGCAGATATAACGTTTGACACACCCCCATAGGCAAAGTGGGGGAGAACAAGGGGTCACAAGACCAGTCAAGAGAAGCAAAGCAAGCTCAGGGTGGATCACAACGTCACCACACACATTGAGCACAAGCAGAGGGCCACAAGGCCAGTTCACATGCAGAGGTATATATGCAACAATAACAGCATAGTGATCTCTACCTAGAAGAGCAAGCATGCAGGTATATATATAGATCACGGTACAAGCAAAGTCTACAGCAAGTGAGGAAACGTGGGCACAAGGCCTAACAAAGTGCAGAAACACTGATGATCATCAGACGGAAGTGCCTTGGTGAATATATCAGCAGTGTTGGCCCGAGTGGCCACGTGAGCAAGATGAAGCTGACCACGCTGCTGCAACTCTCGAGCCAGGAAGTAACGCAGAGCGATGTGCTTCGTTCTGTGCTCCAGTCTGTGCTCCTGACACATTGCAATGGTGGCCTTGTTGTCGACGTACAGCACTTGAGGAGAACAAGGCCGCTCTCCCAAGTCGGTCAGCAGGTAGGTGAGCCAGCGTAACTCCTGTGCAGCCATGGCTGTGGCGTAGATCTCAGCCTCACAACTGGAGCTGAGAACTGAAGACGAGCGTGTAGAACGCCAAGAAACTGAACCAGAGCCAAGGCTGAAGGTGTAACCCTGTGACGACCACTGCGTAGCCTGGTCGTCAACCCAAGAAGCGTCTGAGTGCACAGTGAGGACAACTGCGCTCCGCCCTCCAAGCACGAGCCCCATGCCCGATGTACGGCACAAGTAGCGCAGTACCCTCTTCGCAGCATCCATGTGCACCTTTCGGTGCCGACCAGGAGCCACGTAGCGAGCCAGAAGGCCAAGAGGGTACGCAAGGTCAGGTCGAGTGCATGTCATCAAGTACATGAGGCAGCCCACTAGCTCTGGATACGGGCCACTCGGCTCTACGGACTCGTCCGAAGGTGGAGCTGAGAGCGAGTGGCCTGTAGCTAGAGGAGTGTGCTGTGGCGAGGACCAGGTGAAGCTGAAGCGCTGAAGGACCTGCTGCACCATGTGTGACTGAGTCAGTGTGATGGTGCGGCGAGCTCTGTCCCGGGTGATCTGCAAGCCAAGGTAGCTGCGCAGTTCACCCAGGTCTGTGCACGTGTGTCTCTTCTGCAGCTCCGGCTTCACCAGGGCGAGGGCCTCAGTGTCAGCAGTGGCAAAGACCAAGTCGTCGACGTACACGAGGATGTAGAACGGCGGCAGCGACGTGTCGGTGCGCAGAAACAGCGACGGCTCAGCAGTCGACGGAGCAAACCCAAGAGCCGCAAGTGTAGTCCTCAGTGTGTCGTGCCACTCACGCGGCACCTGGCGGAGACCGTAGACTGGCCGTCGGAGGCTCCACTGGGTACCAGGAGGGAACGACCCAGTGAAGCCAGGAGGGCGGCGCAGCCAGATCTCCTCGTGCAGGCTGCCCTGCAAGAAATCTGTGCTGAAGTCAAGAGAGTGAAGCTCGTAGTCACGCTGAGCGGCAATGTGCAGCAGCACCCGAAGAGTGGTCATCTTCGGGGTGGGGGA